GCCCAGGCCTCGCCCCCCGCGGGCGCCGGGGGTTGTTGGGGCCCGATCCCCAGCGAGACGAGGACCGCAGAGCAGGACTATCGTGTAGAAACCCCTGCGTCATGCCGTCGGGAGGGCGCTCCCCACGACCTTGTGTGTGAGTAACAAGTTCTTAGGGTGATCGGTTAAGAAATACACTCCCCCCCCCCCCCCAGGTCAAATAGAGCTTAACCTATTCTGTAAGTAAACTTTTATTGTATGAAATAGAGGCTTATCTTCAAAGGAGCTTTGGCACACTTTTTTTTTTTTGCCTTTTGGTTCCTCTTTTGCCTCTTAGTCATTTTTTCTCTGCAGGGTCATGTGAGGTGAAACTTAGACTGAAGTCACCGTTTGTCAGAAACACCATTTTTTCTTTGACATGAATCGGGGGCTTCACAGTGCTTTGCATGCAGAGTCAGCATTCAGTAACTATCCCCCGAGTGGATACTTGTTCGGCCTTCAGGGAAGGAAAGAAAAGACTGTTACCTCCTTGATATTCTGTGGCCGGGACCCTTTCTTGCTCTCTTAAATAAACGTGTGTTATGAGGCCCGTTACTTCCAATTAGTTTAAACGTAAAACGTAATTCAAGAAGGAAATCTGTTACATGAATTTCTATCATTTGGTAGCATCAGGTCCCCCTTGCCTTCCTCCCTCCCATCTTCCCGAGCAGTAGTAGGTGAAATCGAGTGTCAGAATTCAGGGGTTATGAAAGCAGTTTATAGTCACCAAATGTAAGTTCTGAGACTGGTTTCTCCCACTGGAGTTAGAGTTTCTGCCTTCAACTCTGTCATTACACCAGCGATTGTCAACCGTGGTGCCACAAGCATTTTTAGAACATGAATACCTGGCTGTTCAGTCAGGGGCACTGACCTCTTTCCCTTGGATTGTCAAATAAAAACATGACAGCAGCCAACACCACCATAGCCGTCAGGGGAGAAGGCCCTGTCGTGAACCATAAATATAGGTCATATAATCGAGTTGCATCTTATTGGTCAGGTTGGATAAGGTTACGTCTGATTGGTTCATTCTTGGTACCAAAAATCCTTAGGCACCTGATTTTTTAAAAAATCACTTTGGCACAAAAGGGGTAGGTAATTACTATTATTTATTATTATTATTTTTTTGTAAATCAAAATTACACCTATATTTTTGTCAGATCGGCAAAAATATATATATATTTTGGTGTGCCACAGAATTTTAGTAATTAGTTTACATGTGCCATGAGATGAAAAAGGTTGAAAATCGCTGCATTACACGACTGTCTGCCTTTCCAGCCTTCATACTCAGAAAAGCATTTATTAATGTGTTGGTAGCATTGACCACTCCTTTCTTAAAACTTGATGCCCATGCTGTTATCTGGGTAATGAAATGCCTCCTAATGTGCATGGCTACGAAGTTTCTAGCCCTAGTGTCATGATTCAGGTTTGACCTGCTAGTGACACGTTATCCGGGTCTAAGCCACAGCCTCCACCCCAATCCTTATATTTCCTGCTCTTGGCAGGACTGAGCAGGTCTTGAAACAGAGTGCCTCCTAGGAGTTACTGTATTACATTTTGAGAAGCACTGCCCCTAGCTGGATGATCCCCGTGACCTTGAGCAATTTAGTTAACTTTTCCACATTCCCATTTCCTCATTGTAAAGTGGAAATGTTAGTACGGAATTAGTACTGGTTTTCCTTTGCCTCCTGTAAAGACTGCAAGTTAATTTTTTAAAATACATGAAGGAGATGAATTGCTTCAAGGACTATGGTGAATTTTTAAAACAGGAGAAAGGGTAGCGAAGTTATGGTTAATTACCATGTTTCTCTATTATTAGATAGAGATATATATATATATATATAATTTTAGAGAGGAAGGGAGAGGGAAAGAGACATAGAAACATCAGTGATGAAAGAGAATCATTAATTGGCTGCCTCCTGCACGCCCCCCAATGGGGATTGAGCCGGCAACCCAGGCATGTGTCCTTGACCAGAATCAAACCTGGGACCCTTCAGTCCACAGGCCAATGCTCTATCCACTGAGCCAAACCAGCCAGGGGCCAGGAGAGCCTTTTTGATTTGAAGCATGAAGACATCTTCATTGAGATAGTAAAGCACCTTCATAAAGGTGCCCCGTGTGAGGGGAGGAAGGGAGACTTTGCGGTTCCATCCTCTTTCCTGCGAGACCCCTGCACATCAGAAGACCGAAAATAGGGTGATGAGGTTTTCAGGACCTGGCGAGGCAGGGAGAGAAAAGGGCAAAAGGGAAAACTTCTGAATCTATGTGTAACCTAAAGCCCCTTCCTCATTCTCTCCTGTGACTGAACAAGTGTAGGATAAAAGGATGAAATCAAGTCTGTGCCTGAACCCGCTTTCCTGGCCATTCCTGTTTCCATGATTCCCTTGTTTCTCTCTAGGAATCCACACATCTCTAAAAGTTCAGGTTTTTCACGGTGGCTCCCTTAGCAGTAGGTTGGGGGAGGAAGCACAGGAATTGATGTGCCAAGAGTTATAAGCTCATTTTTCTCAAACATGCAGGACATTTTCAGACGTACGGAAAAGTAGGAAGAGCAGTATGACTGCTGTATACCACCACGCAGATCCAGTAATTATGTATTCGCTTTTGCTTCATCTCTGAATAAGTGAGTGTGTGCGTATCTGTGTGTGCACATCTCACAGCACTTTTATCTCAGACTCCCCTGTTCATCCTTATCCTCCTTTCCTGTTTTGTTCTCCATCTGCACTACTGACCTTCTGGCAGATAGATAGATAGATAGATGATAGATAGATAGATGATAGATAATAGATCTATCTTGTTTCTTGTTCCACTTGTTTGTTGTCTGTCTTCCCCCACTATCATGTAGACTTCACCAGGGCAGGGGTTTTCCCGTTTCCTTCCCTCCTGTCTCCCCAGAGCCTTGTACATACCGGACGCTCAATGAAAATCTGTTGAGTGAATGAGTGGATGTGCCAGCATAATAACCATAGAGAACACAACGCACAGCACTTCCAAAGGATGAGTTAAACATAGCAATAGGAGTTCTGATATTTGCTTCCCGCCTTCTAGGAGACAGTCCTTCTTACTCTGTGGGGTGTGGGGACCTTTCTTTGGACACGACTCTTGTGGATGGTGGGGGCACTGAAAGGTGTGACACCGCAGGGTGAGGTGATGAAAGGAATATTTTAGAACGATTAATCCTGGGTGATTGCCGAGAGAATGAAAGGGAAGGAATACAGCTAGACAAACTTGATACATTTTCATGCTAAGGGTGGGAACGGAAAGGAAGAAGTCCACATAGGGGAGGATGCTTTAGAAGGATTAACCCACAGCATTTGGTGACTCTGAGGGTGCAGAGGAGGCATGAGCACAAAGATGACTGATATGAGGGTGGGGTGTGGGTGGAAGGCAGAGTTGCTTCGGGGGAGCAGGAGGGTCAGAGGGGAGCCTTTGTGAGGTGCGGTGGGAAGAGGTTGGCATGGACCCAGTTTCAGAGTGCTGACATTTGCCAGGTTCGAGATCCAGGTTTAACTTTTTCAGACAGGAATGGAGATGGGGAGAGGTCAACACTAGAGAGCCCCATTTTCAGCAGCACAGTGTCATTTTGTGGTAGAAATGCCAAACGGGGTAGTTCCTTGGATGTCAAAATGAGTTGTCACTGTAGCCGTTGCGTTCAGTTTCAGGTGGGTTTGGATTAGACATCTAAGCTGTGACATAAGTGCATATCCCTTCCCATACAAATAATGTTTCATTATTTACTTTAACTTCTACCAAATGCACCCCAGGGTGCAGTGCAGTCTGTGGGTGTTGGGACAGGTTGGGGTGCCTTTTCTGGGTGCACAGTCCCTGCTTGTGTGATCACTTGGGAAGGGGACTTGAACCATCCTGCAGTGTCTGCATAGTTTGCAAGTGATCTAATTTTTTGTTTGTTATTGTTTTTTAGAGTTATCATCACCATGTTGGTGACCTGTTCAGTTTGCTGCTATCTCTTGTAAGTATGTTTCTCTTGTAAGTAATTTTTTCCTAAAATAATAAGCATTATTCTTGGCATTTATAATGTATGTGGTGGGAAATGAAATAAGTGGAGCATGGTTGTTGTGAAACTTTACAGCTTTGTTTCATTGAAGTGTATCCCTCATGCCTGAAGAATAAAATAATGTCTGAAGAATAAAAATAGCATACTTTTTAAAAAGTTTTAAAAACCCCACAAAATTTTTAAAAAAGAAAAAATAACACATTTTCTATGTTCAGTACTTATATTTACATAATTTTATAATTATGCCATTACTTACATAATTAAATATAAGTATATTTACATAAGAACTGTACAGATACTCTCTCCCTCTGTCAACCCAAGTACAGTTTATACTCACCAGAAATTGTATTGTAGTGCTTTGTATTTCACTATTGTGAAGTATTTAGGCCTCGTTTCACTTAAATATTTCACCATCTCACTTAAATAAAGCCATTCTTTTTTGTTTGTTTGTGTCCATGGACTATGCATATATGTTCTTTGGTTAATTCCCCCTCCCCTTCCTGCAAAAGCCATTCTTTATTATGACTTTTGTTCATTTGCTGAACAGAAGTTGAGCTAGAATTGTAATCAAGTAGGGTAAGAACAATTTTTTAAATTAAAATTTTTTTAATTAATTTATTTTTGTGAATCCTCACCAGAGGATATTTTTTCTATTGATTTTCTTTAGAGAGGGTAGAGGAAGTGAGGAGGAAGAGGAGGGGGAGGAGGAGGAGAGAGAAAACATGATGGGAGAGAGAGAGAGAGAGAGACATCGATTGATTGCCTCCTGCACTCACCCCAACCGGGGCTGGAAATCAAACCTGCAACTCAGGTAAGTGCCCTTGACCAGGAATTGAACCTATGACCCTTGGGTGCACAGGCTGACGCTCCAACCACTTAGCAATCCAGGCTAGGGCAAACATTTTTAAATTTAAAAGTGTAATACTTAGCATCTATTTGAATAGATTATATTCATTTATAAAAACTGTTG